TTTTTTTCCACTTCCCCCAAGCTCTGCATGTAAGGAAGGAATGGTGAAGATGGTGGCACGGATGTTGTACAGCCCCACGAGATCACAGTGCAGATTGTTGGGTAATCACTGACCAATGACATTCCTCCCTCTTTTCTTGGTTTTCTTGAGTCAATATAGGTCTGCTCGCATTATGTTGAACTCTGTCTGGCCTTTATCAAGAGACTATGATTCAGTGTCAATTAGACTCTCTCATTTCATTTGAGAATGCTGTCCCCTTTCTCTCTTCTCACCTCTTCTTATATCATCTCCTTATATCATCTCCATCATCTGTCTTCCTCCTCCGCTCTTACTCTCTCATCTTTATCTCTTCATCCTATTCTCTCTTATCTTCTTCTACCTCCTCCATTTCTGTAGTTGTTTGTATTAAACTTTTTGAAAACATGAACTTTGAACGGGAGATTTTTTTGTGTATGGGTTTTCGATGAAAATTATGTATGCTGTCATTTGTATTAACGTGATGAAAATGTACAACCTGTTTTGGAAAAGTGTTCAGATGCCTGTGTTCCTTGTTTTGAAAACCTTGACCTTAGTTTGAAAAAATGTATGAGAAAAACTGTAAAAAGGCATCAAGCAAAAGCATATCTCTCAGGGATTTGTGCACTTCATTACCATTCTGCCAGTGCCACAGTGACCTCGATGTTAACTGTTCTCTTGAGGTTTTCAGAGCATGCTTTACCTTCTAATGGCTTGGGCAGGAAGTGAGCAGCTGGTTTAGTTTTCTTCACCCGGTTCCCCTTCATGGCCTGGCCATCTTTATTTAAGCCAAGGAACCATGCTCTCCCCGACTCCTGCTGCCTATACAGCATGGATGAGTAGATCACATAGTAGTTTTCAAACACAGACTCTTTAAACTTGCATTCTGGCGTAAACAGTTCCTGTAAGAAAGAGAGACAAAAGAGGATTGGTGAAATTTTGTGTGGGATTTAGAAAAAGGATTTAGAAAAAACATACAAATTTCAAAATATCTTCACATGAATAATTAAAATAAATTAATAATTAATTAAATACTTAAAACAACTACTATTATCATTTATGAATAGTGAAGTATAGTGATTATATCTGTTTTACCTAATTATATATAATTAAAAAAAAAATTATTACCTATTATTCTACATAATATTAATAATGCATCCATTTAGCGTTGCCATTTCTATCGCATCTTACAACCCCCCTCCAGTTCCATCACAAACCCCTAAGCGTTTGCAAACTCAGGACTGGGAAACCCTGATTTATAACATACAGATTTAAGTCAGATGAGGGACATTTTCTATTAACCAGAACCGCTATTGAAAAGATTCAATAGACACTTCTGTCTTGTACAGCTTGTTTCCAATCATTCATTAAATATGGTGTCCACTCCAAATAACATTTATAAGATGCATGATTATACAGACAGTTGGACAGACAGTACAATGGTAAGTGGAGTTTTGGTTTGTTTAATCAGCAGAATAGAAACCGCAAACTTGGTAACAAAACACAGAGACTTCCCAAAATTGCATTCAAATTCCTGTACATTTTCCTATTACTCTGTATGCATGGTGATACGCCTGAGGTCTAATCTGTAGGCAGGCACTACAGGTCTGTCTGCTGATACCTGAATGAGCATACAGACAAAATAATTGGCCCCAAGACAAAATGTGATATTCGCTCATGACAAATTAATCTCTACTTTCACCTTCACTCCAGGTGCCATGCTCAGCCATGCTATGTCTATTCTTTTCTACAAATATCCATATCCAATTGCACAATCCACACTTTGGCAAGGGCATTCCAACCTTTTCTTCGCCATCTTTTCAGTGCATCTGATTCCACACCTAAAAAGAAACTTGGAGCAAATTGTGGGCATACTGTACTCCCACACTTCATTTGGCTCCACGAAATTTCATTTTGCAGTTCATTTGAAAAGTTTGGGATCATGCCAGACTGTGAATCTAGCAGGAGCAGTAAACATTATCTGTAAATATTAAATCTAAAAATTATTTCTCAAAATGAGAAGTTCAAAGGAACATGGTTTTCTCTCTATGGAAACTGAAGCCGTAAATCTGATTAAAATGTCCCATATTTTCCTAAACATCTCACACTTCCTTATCTAGAACATATTACTCCATCAGATTAATCAAACGATTAAAATAAAAACAGCACAGCTGTCACACAGAGTTGTGAAACAGAGATCTTACTTAAAAATGAAGGTAATTCAAGTGGTAATTCAGTGATGTGGCTGTGTTTTATTTGCTTTCAGATTTACACTGAATGTCATACAGCATTATCACTAAAATAATTAAATATAGTCATTATAACAACAAGTCACTTTTAATGATTTACTAAAAACAGACTCACTATGTATGTACAGTAGCAACTAAATATATATATATATATATATATACACACACACACACATACAGTCTTCTCCAAAATGACTTAATTTAGCCAGTGAATTCCATTCATCTGCTCTGTATGACCCATTATTTGGTGCCATATGTAAACACTGTGTATATTGCATTACACTGCAAATTATTGCATCGATTAAAGCTTCCAGGCTTGCTGTCAATTCAATAACTCCACCACTTCAATAATCCTAGGAGCACTTCTCTATTGGTAAATAACACCAAAACTATCATTTATAAATCTACAAGTTCCATTAACACCCATCATTAAACTACACATTAAAGACCTCATATCTGAATAAGACAGCAAGTTCTAAACGCATATATGCGTCTCTTCTTCTAAAAGTCTCTTCCAATTGACAAATAAGGCAGATTTTACAGTAATGCACTTCCTAAATACTTTTTTGCAAAAATAATACTGATGAATATGAGATTTAATGTCTCATATATTTAAAATGGTCAGTTAATCAAAAAATGGAATCCCCCATAATATATAATAAAGAAAGCTGAACCCACTTTCCCCCAGTCTCTTTTTTCAAAAGATATTAAGAACCACCAATTGTTCTTGGAAAAATATTACTACAAAGATGCTAAATTGTATAAAATTGGAGCCCAATTGTTTTATTTTCAGCTGAGGGAAAAGCATTTCCACAGAACTCCTTCCTGCCTATTATTTCTGTTAAATTGTTTCTTGTCGACCCCAGACAAGGTACTTGGTTAGAAAAAGAGTGGAGACAGGAACTAAGTGGCATGTTAGTCAGATGCAATGGCAGAATAAACGGGATGAAATTGCATTATGTAAGGGAGTTGAACTCTGATGTGTTTTGGAGGGCTCTCTTGCACCCATGATTAAACATTAACAGCTGACTTCATTGACTTCATGCTAACCAAGGGCCTTAAAACAAACCAGATCCCACCAACTGGTGATTTTCAGCACAGAATGCATCAATCCTTGCCAAATAAATATGCTGTTAGGCATATAGAAAGGTAAAAGTGTTGTAACCAAACACAGCTTTGGACCCAAAAGCAGAACACAGACTAAAAAATATGCAAATAAAATTCATTTATTGCCAAAAATCAGACAACACAATCCATCTCTCATTTGCTGTTGAAGATTGTTGGCTGAGGTGAGCTGGAAACTAAACAGGCCAGAGATATGTTGGCAGAGTTGAGTGAGTAGTTTGTTGGTCGGACATGGCAGGCAGAATGCAGGGTGAATGCAGGTGGAGTGAGATCTGAAGCACAGGAGAAACAGAATTAGAACGCCAACAAAACACATAACACAAAAACTAGTCTAAAGACACTGGGAGGCTTTAGCACACAGGGCCGTGTCTAGTGCAT